ATTGGTATTTTCTTTCTTTAATCTGGATATTTTCATGTTTTAAAAAAGATGGAACAAGCAAATACCCAGAGACCACTCTCTAGCTATTTTTGTTCAGATGACTTAAATCGAAGTTATTCCTCTGGTCTCTATATGGTATATATTATGGAAAATCACCTTAAGTTAGGTCACAGGGTAAAACAATTTTTTTTTTTGGCTACACCTAGAACTACTACATGGGTTAATCCCATGTCATTTTCCTTCGAGAAAATATCTTAAAAATGTAATACTGTAATAGTAACAGCTATCGCTCATCAACAACATAAATCGCTTTGTTAACCCTGCTATCATACCATCAGAATTATAACTTAAAGCTGTTTTTAATAATAATTTTTACATGTTTTTTAAAATATACATTATGTTCCAACAAGAATAAACATAAAGGTTACAAAAAGAAAAATTCTTTAGAGGATTGGTAAAGTCGATTTAAGCCCTGATTCGTGCCGAATTCGGATCCTTCAACTATAATCCTTATGGTTTTATCCTATTTCAGTATTTATAAATAAGTATATATATTATGTGTTACTAAGTTATCGTGTAAGCTTTATATGTATTTATAGTAGTTGTGCTGGATAAATGCGATTGGTGGACAAAGGTAACCACGTCAAAATTAACTGTATGGATACGACGATATCGTTTTGCTCAACCTTAACGCAACATAAATAATAATAACATAAAAGAGTTTAGAGACAACTTTAAAAAAAATAAAGAAATATGCATATAAAATAAGAATATTCTCTCAAAGTACAGATATGATATTATGTTTTATCGATTTTGAATTTCGTGGTTGGTGTATGTATGTTTTTAAGTGATATTATTTCAGTTCGTTCAAAAACCTCTAAAAAGTTGTGAACTTAAAGTTTCTGATATTTTTACCATTATACATTCTATAGAAGTAAACAAAACACAATACCAATACGTGGGAAAATGAAAATTTTCTTTGAAGATTTGAAAATGGCTTTTTATTCAATTTATTTAAATATTTTTGAGTTTAATGACAACTTGTGTTTAACTAAATATACCATAAATCTTAGTAATCAAAGTACTAAAGAGTTATGAGATAAAAATTTGAAATTGTGAATAACGTACTGTAAATCTTAAAATCTATCATAATTATTACTCTACTATGGAATATTGTATGGTTTTTTTTCAAAACATTTCTTTATACCTTTGTTGTTGTATAACGCATTTATAGTTCTACCATTTTATAAATAGAAAGTTTATTTTAAAAAGAGTTCTCCTCATATACATAATTATAATACAGTTATATATTATACGAATATAGCTTGTTTTTATTTTAACCATCTATATTTTAATAACATTTATGTTGGGTAGATATTGTATTCAAAGAATTATATGATACATTTTATTTTTACCAATATAAAAATTTTAATCAAATTATGATTAAGTGTATATTTAAACGAATATAATAACTAAATATGAAATTTGAATATTATATAAATAAAATATAAATATAAATTCGTGTTTATTGTATACACTTCAACAATAAAAAAAATAAAATGCTGAATTTAAAGTACCTAGTTTTTTGTATGGTGTGGTAAATTTGAAAATAAAATAAACTTACGTACATTAGATACATATTTTATATGTGAAGTAAGTCGTTATTATATTTAGATGACCTACTTTAAAGGGTAAACCACTGTGATACCATTTTTTTTTTAATAAAAATAAATTTACTAGTAAAATTATATTTTGCGTTTGTAATATAATTAGTTATCATTAGCTTATGGCTTAAAAAAAAAGAAGAAAATAATAATAAAAACTAATGAATTTTAAACAAAATATATTGTATTGTTTTGAATATACTGTACATTTTTTAATCATAATTAATAAATTAGGTATTTATATGTTTGGATAAACCGATATACTTTTAAAACAATTCAATATTTTTGAATATAACAAAATTAATATTTACTACATTTAATTGAACTAATTCATTTTAATCAACAACTTTAAAAATTATAAATCTTGATAAAAAAAAATTATTTCTCGGAACTGTTGTTTCCAATTTTATAACTCGATTACAAATATTATAAATAACTTCCTATAGATAACTCATATATTGTGATGAAACTTTAAAAAGTTTAAAATTGATTTAAACTTTAGTATTATTTTTGAAATAATAAAGGGTCTAAAATTTAAACAAAAAAAAAATAAAAATACAATGTACCTCTTGTGGTTTTTATTTTTTTTCTTAATTTCTAAGAATCAGAAGTTTTTATTTGTGATTATAAGTAAATTTAAGTATTGTTCGTTAGTGTTTATTATCATAGAATAAATTAGATTTGATAATTAGTTTGTTATTTTATAGTATGTTTAATATTGTAAACAACACAGAGGCATTTTCAAACTATAATTGGTTTCAAATTTGTTGATTTTTGAATTTTTTAAATGATGTAAGACACCTTTTGGGGATTTTTCTTGAAAGGGTTCGTGATAGGTTTTGTCAGTAAAGTTGAAAATTAAGTAAAGTTTTAAAGCAAAAGTTGTACATTATTTTACGATTTAGGTTATACGGTAATATGTTTTTGCTATAAGTAAATACAATCGTTAAAACACTTAACGAATTGGCTTTATGCAAATTTTTTATTAAAAAAATTGTAGTCATAATAAGAAAACAAAAATTTTGTGATTGCTCTTTTAAAATAGTTTTTTTTTAATTTTTAACTAATACAGTTAAAATAAAAGTGAAAAACCGTGAAAATTGCTCTTCTGTATACCGATATGGTTTTAAGTTTACCTTTTCATTTAGTTAATCACTGTGATTGATACGTAAAATGTAATTTCAATGATTAATCATGTTACACAAAAAATGATTGATTATGGGTGTTTCTTGCATGTATGTCTAAATTTTTAAGTATATTTTATATTTTTTGTCCTACTAGTAATACGGTATATTAAGCTAATTTTTGAAAAAAATATAGTATACACTATACATTATATTATTATAAAACCGTATGGTTGTATTTTTATTATTAGCTTTATAAAGCCAATAACCATATAGAATTGTAGTATACATAAGTTAAAATTAGTCTAAATTATTTGGACATTTCATTGCGTATAAGTAATAATAATATACATAATGGTGAAACGTTTCAAGTTCACGTGACTTATGTTTTTATTACAATATAATAGCTCAAATCGTTAGTGGATGAATCGTTATTATACTTTTAAATATCTGGTTTTGAGTGTTTTGACAACATTTTAACTTAAAAAATGTATGTGGCTTTACATAAAACCTTTATTTTTAATTCTGATAAAAAACTTACAAATAATCTTGTATTACGTTTTTAAGTCTTAGATATCAAAGTTAAAATATCATGAATATTTAAGTACAATTTAATTTGAAAATTTCCATGGTTTTAATGAATTTTGAAAACATTTAGACTTAGTTCGTACTTAGTTAACCTAACACTCATTAATCAATATTCTTTTTTTGTATTTTATCTAGGTTTAAGGTCTTATAGTATTAATTTTTTTAAATATTATTATCAAACCTATAGATTTTTAAGGTTTAATATCCTATTTGTTTTTATAAAATAATAACAATATAATAAAAAACTAATTTATTTAAATAAAAGTTAAATGAAATACATCGAGTTTGTTTAAAAATGTATTGATGTGCACCTTTTTTAATTATTTACATTTTATTTAATTTGATCATGCATTTTTTATCTTTCATTGAGATATTGTGTTATCAAAAAAATAGATAAAATAATATTATTGTACGCTAGAGGATTCATTTTTTTCCAAAACATTGTATTAAAGTTACTGAACTCGCAGAGGAGTATTTTAAGCATTTCAAAATAGATGGATCATTCAATAGAAAAAAAAAAAATACAACTACGTTATTCGAATGTTCACCGTTATTTCTAGAATTTTGGTAATATACACAACCTATATAAAACTGAATGTTTGAATAACTAGGTACCTGTTCTATTCTTTGGTGTTCGGTGCAATATCAATCAAAGACAGACAGGCACCGTATTATAGACTCAAGGGACACCAGATATGTGACGGATTTTATTACAGCTTTATTTCATTTATATTATTTTCTTTCTCTGGCAAACTAACAAGTATGACATATCAATGTTACACGAATTAGATATATATATATATTATTATTTATATTTTTCCCGATATATGTGGAATGTATATGAATAAATAAAACATAAATCACCGTTATACCACGATCGATTGTTCGTATGTATTAGTGTACAGCCACAGCTCTACAGTTATAATCTGGTTATGACTATTATGAGTCATACGTACTGCACTGACATATCATTCGTGTATGCTCAGAACTGGATATCATGTTTATTATCTTTTCTTCTAGAATTTCCTAAGGGTATATTAAAGTTTGTAAATCGATTTTATAACATGTGAACATTTAAAGTAATGTTATAAAAAATCATATATTTTCTGAACTATCAAAATGATATAATATTGCTTACAATATAGACTGAAATTAATGTTAACTAAAAATAAATTGAATATTTAGTTTCACAAAAATATAATATAATTGAGTTAAACTCATTCATAAAAATATAATTAATATCAAACTCTATGTGATTTCTTGTTAATACAAATTATGTCGCACATTAAGATTTTTTAATTATTTTTTCAATGTTTTTAACGTATCTCATATTCATACTAAAGCATAATCACTGATGTTTAAAATAGCCGAAGGAAAATATTTTGTACGATAAAATATAAAGAATTTGATAATATTTTATGCAAACGCTGTAATAATAATCTGTTTTACTCTATAGTGATCCAAAAGTATAACATAATGTCCGGATCAGTTGATATATCATGTTTATGTTTTTTTCCTGTTTTGATAATCCAATTTCCTCTTTGACCGTTGTATATAATTATTATAGTATCTTTTAAAAAAATTTAGAATTTATAATTAATCAAGACTTTTTTCGTGTTGACAGGAAAATGAAGTTAAGGTTCGTGACATTGCTGATAGCGCTTACGCTTTTGCCGCTCGTCTTATCACACAGGTAAATATTATACACAATTTAGAATATTCTGCAACCTATTTTGTTCCTAGTTATTTAGACGCATTTTGTACATTTCGTCGGAAATTAATTTTCTTAACATTTTTGATAATGAAATTACATCGTCCGTATTTTTTATGATAATATAATCATCATATGAAAATCGTGAGTGGCATTTCAATTAATCGACTTTTTGGATTTTTTTTTTTGTTTCTTAAAATTCGTTGCGTGCATAGCAATCACGTATACGTTTCGGTGATCCATGGCCATGACCAGGGTTCGCTGCTACCCAGGACTATGGACAGAGCGATGCCGCCGTCAGTGCGGGTACTATACGCCGAGATGCCGGCCAACAAATTCAGCACAGGTGCTTTGGAAGCTGTGCTTGATCTGTGGGCGAACAAGACGATCGTTGCGTGTCTGCTGCTTATACCTGAACCGGTGGGATCGATCCCCGCGCTAACTGCCACTAAATACAGGATCCCCGTTCTCTGGCTTCCTTCAGTGCAACGAGTGGACCAGGTGAGTTTTTATTTATTTACTGTCTATTGACCGAGATCACGTTTAAAATCTAGAATCGACTATCATAAATTGTGTGTACTCGATATGCTGTCCGGTATGGCTATGTTGTGGTGTTTGTTTCAAGAATCTGATCTATATAGATACTTATTACGATTAATACATATGCTTTTTTTCCTGTTATCGTAACACGGTAAGTAATGCAGATAAGCAATATATCATTATGGAAGATGCTCGTTTAAATATTATTAATAATTGTATATAGATACAATGGGTTGCAAACCTTTACTGGGTTACGTGCTCCAAGTTTTAAATCTTAGTTTTTAAAATAAAAACCACGTGTCAAGTAATTTATATATTTGTGGTTAGATTAGATAACAGAATGAGATTTTCAAAAAAATATTTACAGCTATTAAGCATTTAAGAACATTTTCATATTAGCTATTTTATAATTGTTCTAATCGTAATAACCCATAACATAATATTTTTAATATGTCTGCCATTCTAGTTTATCATTGGATCATTTATTAAATAATAGATGTGTACTTCTACTTATTTTATCTATTAATATAATAATTCAATAAAAATCAAAAATTTTATTGAGAGTCGTTTAAGTTTATTAAACGCATGCTATTTTTTACCACCACCACATTTTTGAAATAAAATTTAAATTAAAAATAGTAATAAACAACAATTCAATAGTGTACACGCATCGAATATTATGAATGATATCTGTAGTTGATTTAAAAACTGAAGTAAGTTTATAATTTTGGTTATCCAAGGCGTTGTTTAATTATTATTTTTCCGGAAAATATAGTAAATACTTTTTTTGAAGAATTTTGATTGATCTGATTTGATTAATTATGATTTATTTATGTTGACTAGAAGCTTTGTAAAGGCGAAATATAATATATGAGACAGTTTTTTTACTTATCGTTTAAGAACTCATTTAAAAAGCCAAATACATTTTACACTATTATATAAGCCAAATTTAATTTATTTTCTGCGAACATGTGCTAAATTTGCTTAGCAAACGTTTCTTTTGTCCTTCTTTTATTTTGTAGATTTTTTTTTTCTTTATCGTACTACATATTTTGTTAAACTGTAGTTGTAAATGTATTCATTTGGCAAATTAACTTGACCTATATGTTTTATTTCGTTGAGATGTAGTTAATTTGCTCACACTATTGTATAACATTTGGTATTTAAGTATCTATCTTAGTGAATTTTGTGCTATAGTTACAAAATTATTTTTTTACCCGTTAATTATTTAATCTTTATTTCTGTGTTTGGTCTTTCTATTAAATTGTCTTAATTAGTATTCTTTAGTATATACTATAATTTATAATATAATATTATATCTACGATAATTATTCATATTTTTTATTAAATACCACCTAAGTATCTGTGTTTATTATCTATGTAATATGTACTGCATTTATTAAATAAATAATTAGTATTTACCTAAAATTATATTATACATTTTTTTGTAAAAGAAATAATGTACCGTATAAAACCTGTATAAGTACATAAAGAAATAATACATTAATTAAAAGTTATTTCATTATAAATTTTTGATATTGTGACTTTAAAAAAAACAACATCACTTCAAAACTTTGTACTTAACACTATACGTTTGGAGTTTAAATACATATACAACTAAAATTTTTGATTATTGGTTGATTGTAAAGAGATCAGATACAATGTTACTGATTAATGTATTTGTGTGATTAAATGTAGTGACAATAATGATATTGAAAATTTAAACTACCTACTCAGTAGCATTCATTTCACATATAAAATAATAAATATTGAAATAATTTAAATTTTAATTAAATGGCAATCTTAGAATTAAAAGTTTAACAAAATAAAAAATCTTTTAAATTAAAAAAAATACATCATAATTATTATAAATAGTCTCCCTACATTCAAACTTAATTCTATAATCTATACATAACAATTGAAAAGATATATAGAGTAAAAACAATTCAAACAAAACATTTAAGTTAAAGAAAAATGAATATTGTTAAAATTAAAAACAATACTATAAATAAAGACAATGTAAGAATCTATTGAACAAAAATAAAAATAAAATTGCATGTTGTATTAATTTTTTTTAAATTATTAAATTTGAAACCTTGAAAAACACAATCAATATATTTTTTCAATGGATTAAAGGTATTTTTCTTAAAACTTTTGAATAACTTATTACTTCTAAAAAAAGTTTTACTTTAGAAAGTAAGAATTAACAATATACAATATTATATAGGTATTGTTCAGTACAAAAACTGCGTTCTGATTAAAAATTGTAGATAATATGATCCAATTTATTTAAATATTTTTTTTTTTTTAATACCATTATAAAATTCTTACATATCTCAACTGTTGATATATTTCACAAAATACTATTATCTCAAAATAATATTTATATAAAGCCTTCAAACATATTTATGTATATATAAATATACTTTTATATTTTATATCGACGTTTAGCAATAAGAATAATTACAGTTTTTATTTTTAATGAAATGCCTTTAATATCTATACATTGGAGTACACGATAAGAACATTCAAATCGATATTAGAATGTAACTCAGAGAAATTATCTTTATGCATATAATAAATATTGTTCTTCATTGTTGGTTAATATTTCGGCGTCATGGAGTTTTAGTGTAAACCACCCATTGTGTATTTGTTCAAACCACTCCTCTTCTATGATATTTATTTATTTATTTATTTTATTTTTTTTCGAGATCCTTTATATTCTCAATTCAGTTATAAATTTAAATTTAAAATGTATTACACTTTAATATCACATTTACATTTATCACAAGATATTTAAATTCTATTAACTGTTTTGCAATTTCTAAAAGGTACTTTAGTCAAGTTATTTAGTATGCAAACATGACACATGTATAGGTACTTGTATAATACTGCAAACAATGATAATTTATAACTATCACTCAGGAGTACTACCCAAACTGCTATTTATATGGAAATACTTTGTATACTTATAAGTATGGGTAAACATGATATAAGTGTGAGTAATTTGAATAATATACGAACTTATTAATTTTCGACGTCATCTTTATAAAACCATAAAAACTTAAGACATTTTATTCTAACTTCTAATTTGAGATGTAATTTCATTTCTCATGCATTTTAATATCGATGCAATTTAAATTAAATACTTGTTGTACTTAAATAGTATTTAGTAGTAGCTTATTTAGTATGAGTAATAATTTAACATAACAGTTGTTTATCTTATAATTTTACTAACAAAATAATACATGTTTTGATAAATTTTAATTGCAACAACAGCTGCAGAATAATTTGTTTAACGTTATTAACGAGTTTTGTAAAAAAGTAAAATAAAATAATACCAGTTACAGTATTAACCTCGGGCTTGAGTGAAAATAAAAATGTAGTTTTACAAATTTAATAAGCGATAAAAGCTTTGTATTAAATTAAATAATTTGCTGTTCGTATATTATATAATTAAATATCATAGTTATGAATCCGAGGAAAAAATTGTTGTTTACTAAATAAGAAAAATTATGAAAATAAAAAATATATCACTTATTTAGTAATTTGATAATGTATAATAGTAATTTAAATTTTGAATGACAGTTACCTAAAATGTATTTTATAGTTTATATTGTCTAGTAAATTATCATTTTTAATTTTAAATTAAGTATAAAAACATTTGTTATCTTAAATTATCTGTACAAATGTACCTATATATTAAAGTTAAAGTTACAACTTGTTAGTAAATCAAGATTTATGTCAGTTTAATATACTTAGACTGAATAATTTGCTCAATATGGTGTTGACAATTATTGTATAATTTGTTAGTTTATAGTTATGCACATGTTCGTGTAATTGTTTCGATATAAATACAGTGATAAAACAATCATTAGACACGTTGTATAATGTGATGAAGGTTATTTTGGACATCGATTATAAATGTACGCGGAAATTCAAAACATATCATTGTATATAAATTGACTGTTACTACATCAGGGAATACGTGTACACTTTATTTCAAAAACCGTATGTAATTACACGAATATCTATATATTTCATATTTCTATATTTTTAAATAAAGTAAATAAATTTGTGTTTCATGAATTATTTCAATAATTTACTTATTCTAATTATATTGTTGAGTTTTTAACAAGTTAAGATCACAATAAAACCATTAGTAATTTCCTCAAATCTGACAATACAATTTGGCGAAGATACTTGGTTAGGTTTTTGTATACTATTTCCATTTTTCGAGAACTGCATAAAAAAAGTTTCTTTTTATGATTATTATGAGAACACACCTTATAAAACCGGAAAACATTTAAAGTCGAATTTAATTGAACGAAGCAATTGTAAATATAACGAAAATAAAGTTAGTGATGATCGTTTTATTCGTAGTTTTGCGAAACATTTTGATACACCAATTTTAAGAACTTGGATGTAAGTTTAGAACCTACCTGTTATGTATTTAACAAGTCTAATCTTTGAGATTGATTATTAAATTTGTTTATTTCTCCAACAGACCTATAAAAATGGTTTCTGCCAAACAAATAATTCTTGGGATCTTCATGAGTCGGACTAACAAAATAAAGTTATCAATAAAATTTGACTTCAATTTATGTTACATATAGAGCATTGAAAAAACAAGTAAAAAATGTATGTATATAGATGAACAACTATATACATATAAATGTATGTTTATATATGTATATAACAATTAAAAGCGGAAATGGAAAACACTGCGTTGGTGAAAAATCGTAATGATTGGACGATTCCTAGACTGAGCTGCTAACTTCCAGAATTGGAATACGAGATTGCATGGGTGATGACGAGCACTCGCATATACGAGCTCTACAACACTGTACTGACCAATCTGATTACTTGTACATAACTGTTACGTATAATACCACGAAATCGGTTAAGTTAAGTTTAACTTTAGTTAAAATTCTTTCGTGAACTTGATAATGAACTTGAAC